TGGATGTCTCTTTATCATAGCTGAGGCAAAGCAAAATAAAGTTTAAAAAATAAAACAAAAATGAGCATACAGTAGGGCATATACAAGCATGTGTTTGTCAGTCGCCAGCAGCTCCAGACAAACAATGACGCTCAAAACTGTCCTGTTATTATAACATTACAACAGCATGTTCTGTGAAACATAGCAAAACTAACGCTACTCACTAGCCTGGATGCGAGCCGAACTTAGCCCCGCCCACAACATTTGAAGAATGTAAGTTCAGTCTGGAGTCTGGACTTGATCCATTGTGAAGCAAGTATGCCCGAACCAAAGCTGTTCGGACCAATCAAATGGTCAGGGTGTGTTTTGCACCATGATTCAACAGATGATCAACCGTAACGTAATCATCCACGTCACCAAAGAACGCTTGGGTTGAATCTGTTGAATGGAAATGAATAATGGCTGCCGCTGGAGAATTTAGATGTGTAGATTTAGCCATCGCGTCTGTTATAGAAGTTGTAAACCGCGCATTCATTTTATAAGAGGAACAGAGAACCGTGATCAAGGCATTTGTCGATTGGAAAGATGTTTTTGCCATCCTTACCACAGGATTCAGTCTATCCAATTGAGTGCAGAGGCATTTTTTGTCCTAGTTTGGTTGAAAAGCCCCATAATCACAGCCCAATGGATGAAGCAGTAACAGACTCACATTCTGACTAGACTCTGAGTATGACGACGTCGGGCTAGTTACTCACGTGTGGAGCAGAAAAAACCGCAACCTCTGCGTCTGTTTTCAGACCTTAGGTCTCTCCAGTGCTGGAAAGCTTTTCTAATATTAACACAGTTCCTAAAGCTCTTGCCTTATCATAACCCTTCTTTTTCCAGTGGTATTCTGATCTTTTCTCTTTTGTAATGTCTCTCAGCCATCTTTCTTTCTACTGTTTTATTCAAATTTACCTCTCTTGCTCACTCTCTCCCCATCATGAATGGACACGCCCCCTACTGCTGATTGGCTACAAGTGTGTTGTGGGACTCAGTCCGATCCAAGTGCTCACATAGACACTTACTGTAGATCAAACACTTAAATCACTCTAGTCACTTGTGGAATTATGGATTTACAAGATTGCTCACTAATGTTGGTTTGTATGTATGTCTGACTGTTAAAAAAGAAAGAAATTGCTTACTGCACCTTTAAAAAAAAGAGTAGTTTAAAAAGAAATGTATTTTGGTATCTACTTTAGGTAATGCTAAAGAAACTTATCAGACTGATGGGGTGTTTTATGGAACAAATGCAAAAAAAACATGTTGTGTGTGTTGTGCGTTTCATAGGCAGGGTTGAATAATGATGTTGCAGCCGTGGAGAAAGAGAAGAGTGACATTAATGGTAAGTGTAATATGCAAGGACCCACAACAATGATATAAACTGAATTTTAAAGGCAGCTGTATATTATAATATTGTGTTATATTATATTTATAATGTGTGGGAAAATTATTCTGAATGATGTTAACATCTTTCTAAAATTAAATAATTATAAAGTATTTCTATTAAATTAATGATATATTAATAATATTAGTGTGTATATATATATATATATATAAAGAGTTCAGATGCAAAAGCCTCTAAGTGCCATTTGAAATTCTCTTCTAGAATGATTTTTATCAAGCTTGTATATTTAAGTTCAGTGATTTCACTTAAATGGCAATGATAATTACCTATTAATTGTTATTTAAGTGAAATTACTGAACTTAAATATACAGGTTTGATAAAAATCATCATTAAAGAAGAAAATTTCAAATGGCATTTAGAGGCTTTTGCATCTGAACTCTTCATATATATATATATATATATATATATATATATATTGATTGACATCAAAACAGTAATAACATTTAAATGATGATAATTATTGTAATTTAATATTTTATATTAATTAAATAATTAAAAAAACATACAAAAGAAAGAATGAAACATCAAAAATATCAATATCAATATGAAACAATATCAACTTCAGTAAATGTGTTTATAATTAGCCTATATTATGTTAAACAGTGTAAATTCTTTTATTTTTACTGACCCACTAGCACCCCCTTGTGGTCTCATGGAAGTCTTGTACCCTAGTGCACCATCCTTAACCTCCCATAAAGCAAACATATAAAAACATAGAAAAGAGGTTTCGATAATTCTCTCTCTTGCTCTTATTCAGGTAATTTTCTTGGCGAAAAGACAAAATGGAGTGAAGAAATGAATCGCCTTAAACAGCAGATCCAGGAGCACAGTCCAGTCTGTGCCCATGCAAAGATTTCTTCACAGGACCTTGAGAAGGATCCTACCTTAAAGTGAGTTTTTGAAGAAATGATTCTTTCTGATTACAGAGATGGATTAATTCATAGTCACCAGGATATGTAAATTAATCTTGCGGTCAGAGTTAATTTATCTTTATATCTGTCTTTTTTTTTTTTTTTTACAGGGATCTTTGCCCTCAAATTCAAAAGACAGCAGTCAATGATGCAGTCTTGCCTCTTGGAAAAGTCTAATCAGAGCAGTGTCAACCATTCAACAGCTTTAAAATGATGGATTTATGCATTCCGCCTAGAAACTAAACATAGCATCTCTGTGGATGGTTGTTACATTATTGCCGAACTGCTTTGATTAAAAGCATCTGCTAAATCAAATTTGTAATATGGACACTTCTCTATACAGAAAACAACTGAAGACTACTTTTTGGGTCAGTTTTATTGCGGGTTTTATTGGATTTAGAGTATCTTACAAATTTTGCTCAGTTTGTATTTTTACATGTTTCTACTTTGAAAATGAGATTAGTAAAATAAAAAATATCTATTTCTTAAGAATTCTACTTCTGCACTCATCACTTATTCCCATATCCAAAACCCTATTTTATACAAAGTATAGCATCACAAATGATGTACTTAATTGATAATAATAATAAAAACTCAACTAATATAAAAACAACAGCAATTCCTAATATTCTTGTTTGATTCTGATGCACTAATCTGTGATAATTTCACACAAATGCAGATGAGGAACTGAAGGACAAGTGAAAAAAAAAATGATAACGAGTAACAATGTGGTTACAGAATAGTATGTTCTTTCATTAGGCTGAAGACGCATTGTCGCTTCAGGTTTCATGGCAAAAGCGCAAATGAGCCCCGTCACTTATACGGGCTTGTCTACTGTAGTCGATGGATTAGAAAGAATGGTAATGTGTCTCTACAATGTCGAACACATAATGGCAATTAGTATAATGATAATTTGGCTTGACTACGTTATCAAATAGTTAATAATGTGTTGCTAATGTTAAACAAACCATGTTCTCTTTCACCATGTCAGAGTCAGACTAAATGACCGTAATAATAATCAGCATCTTTAGTAACACTCTGAACATCATAGAAAGTCCATGGAGAAAAGCATATAGTTCTTCTTAATATGGTAATATACGTCAAATACATAATTCACACGATAAATTGCTAAATGTACCCAATTTTTCATATCAGCAGAAAAATAAACCGGAAGCTTCTCTTAAAGGGATAGTTCACTTTGAAATTAATTTTTGATATGTTTTAGCTTACCTCAAGGGCATCCAAGATGTAGGTGTCTTTGTTTCCGCAGTATTTTCAATTTTGGTATTTTTAGGTCAAACCGTTCTTGTCTGTCAGTCATATAATGGAGACCTATGGGGTCCACCTCAAAGAGCATGCACAGAGAAGTCCAGATTAAACATGATTTAATGACTCGTAAATGTAAGTACACATTGATGGCCTAAGACACAAAACAAGCGGTTTGTGTTAGAAATCGAACAGTATTATATAGTTTTTACCTCTTGTAACCACAGCCACAAAGCGCCTGCGCCCTTAGATCACTTGCACGTGGCTGTGGTTACAACAGCTAAAAACGATATAAATACTGTTCTTTGTCTAACACAAACCGCTTGTTTCGTGTCTTAGGCCATCAACTGTGTACTTACATTTACGAGTCATTAAATCATGTTTAATTTTGACTTCTCTGTGCATGCCTAATGTAACCTCGGTTCTCTCTAGAAGAGGGAACGAGTATTGTGTAACCTGCCATGCTCGCGCCACAGTGCTATTTCGCTTCAGTTGATGAAAACCAGAAAAACAGCCTCCGAGTCCTGCTTATATACACTAAGCCACGCCCATTTTGGCGGGCTAGGACGCGTAGAGGGCGCGTGACGTCACACCTGGCTCGCTGGTAGGCTGTGCAGTTCCTGCAGAGCAGCCAATGAGCGTGCTAGAATGCCCACTCTAAGTTTGCTAGGTGCTGCACTGCGTTGACAATGAATACAAAATTAAGGATAATTTTTTGACTTCAATATCTTGAGAAGACGAATCTTTCCCTTAATTAGCGTAAGCTAAACTTACGCAATACTCGTTCCCTCTTCTAGAGAGAACCAAGGTTCCATTAGGTAACCGAGTACTTTTTCTATGCGTTTTTAGGCGCTTTATGTGAATGGCGCATTTCCAAAAAAATATTGGACTTTTACACAAAGGTTGCGGGCTCAAATCTCAAAATCGGCAGGAAATGACTGAAGTGCCCTCGAGCAAGGCTCCTAATCCCAAATCGCTCCCTGGACACCATGGCAAAATGGGTGGCCACTGATTTATTACGTACAACTTTTTTATTGGAAGTTGAAAGTAATGTGTTTTGTTACTTTTGCCCTTTTTATCAGTGGATGTTATGGATAAGAAAGACTCTAAGTTTCTGTCTCTCATAAATTAGAAGCTTTGTGATGAGCTACAGAATATAATCTGGAAGAATTGTAAATGAAAATCCACTGGACAATACAAGGTAAATACAGTGTTCGATTATGCCAATGACAAATTAATACAAATTTTTAATGTCTAAAGACCCATATTATAAAATATTATCTGGTAAATATTATCAGTAGAATAAACAATAAACCCACTCTTTAAAATGCAGAATATTATCAAATTGTGCAAATGTGCTAAATGATTGCATTAAACATGATATTCCTTTCTCTTACCTCTTTCACAATCTTGCTAATAAACAGCACTGCCCAGATATCTGTCAGACTGAAATTGTCTTTTTGTCTGTAGTATTTCTTGAGTGTCGACAATTTGTCCTTCAATCTGACCTCACCCTTTAGAAGTCTCTGTTTGATGTCATCCTTCACTATATTTAGCTCGCTGGACCAATTTGGTACTTTGTATAAAGATGCCATGCACCTTATGAAGAAGAAAAGTTTCGTAATTTGTTAATATTCTGATTATTTGAATTTGAGTGCATGTATTTGCTCATTTACCAGGTAGATCCAGAGAGCCCAGCAAGATACAGCACGCAGTCCAACAGATCATCTTGAAACAGAGCGACCAGTGATCCCAGCAAACCCACCATCGCTCTTTCACTTCCTCCTGAACCCAACACAGCGATTTTGGGCAGATGCTCCTGTAAAGAATGCAGTAAACACCCATTAAGCAACTACCGATATGTAAATATGCCTTTTTTTAAGGAATTCAGTGAGTTTGTCGTTGTAGATGACAGCACAAACCTTTCCAAGTAAGTAATTTCCCCAAACAGAACTATTTTCTGTATTTGTTTAACATGATGTTTTATGCAAATCATTCAGGTTCGTTTAAAAGCTCAGAATAAAACCAGAATATTACCGGGCTACACTGTATGCCGTGTCTTTTAAGACACTCCACCGCTGATTCTCTCCTGCTAGTCACATGGTTTATTTCAGCCTCGTTCAGCGAATGACCGATTCTCACTTTGCAATCGCTGTAGAAAACCCATTAAGGTTTCAAAACAATTCCAACAAGTAATAGAGAAACTCTTAACTTAAATTTGAATTATCGTTGTCTTGTGACACTGCATGTTGTAAAAGGAGCACAAATTAGATCAGAAATGTATGCAGGAGGATTACCATTCGCTTTGATTTCCCTCAGACATCTGTAAAAAGGAAATTCATTTTTAACTGATTTAGGTTTGATTGTATCGTGACTATCGTGTATTGCTAAGTTGCATTCATTTTCCAGTCTCATAAAATTCATTTAATGCAACAGTTTCTTTTAAAAAATCTGCTCTAAAGAGACTTACCTTTGCTGCCAGGGGCTGAAGTAGGCTACGTAAGGGCTGAAGCTAAACACTACGGAAACTTTTTATCGAGAGCATGTGATGTGAAGAGGAAATATGAGATGTGGTTTAGACCAAGAATTTCAGAGCTGACTTAGCTTTGCCAAGTTGCCCCATTACAATATTTTCTGTCAAGTCTGGGCAAGACTTGTACTCAAGTATTTGGTGCCATCTGGAACTAAAAATCAAAAAATATTCCATATTCCATAACAGATGGGGGCAGTATACCTCCAGAAAATGTGTTGTGCCGCTGCCGCACGCACTCACGTCTTCAAACAACACAAACGAGCGCTGTTTTGCTCTCTTTCTCCGCATTTTATTCAAATCATTTGACACGATAGTAAAAGGTCGGAAGACCGCAGTTTCACGTGGAGCATTTGGAGATTTTTAGAGATCAGAGACAATGAACAACATCTCAACACTAAATGATGAAGACCGACTCATAGACGCCTGTCTCAAAAACAAGCTGTTGCATTTCGACGATATGGGAAAATAAAAGCCTGCAGGCTATTATTTTAAGTTTACGGTATTCGTTTTGTTCATATTACACTTTTATTGTTAGTTTGAATTAATTTGACAGACAGCATTCGCTGATGTTGATCAACCTAGCGAAATTCAGAGCTGCCAGCTCACGAATTCACCGTGAGACACATGCAATTAACACTTAGCAAGCAGGTTAGTTAAGCTCTCAGATTCTGTCAATTTTATTATGCAATTCAAACAATAAATACCGTTTTGGCGCTTGTACATGTTACACCACAGATCCCTAGCGCACGTGAACCGATCATCTCTACTAGCTAATGGAAAAAGAACCCGAACACTGGTGAAAGATACAGTATGCTACAACTTACCAAAATGTATTCCTCATGCATAATGTCAACCAATCATTTTTTGAACTCTTCCCTGAACTGAAATGTAGTAATGGGCTGTATTTCCACACGACTGACATCAGGTTCAAGTACACACACAAGCCGGCGCGAGCGCGACTCACTCGTGTACTGCAGTTTGGCTGGTGGTAATGTTGCCCGGCCGCATACCGCCTCCCATGGCCGGAACTGGTATTACGACACCTGCCGGGCCGGGGCTAGTCATTTAGCATGCTAATTTAGGTTTATATCTCGGCAGCACTATAACTTGTCAGTTTTTTAATTACATCATTGCACTTATTTCTTCTCATTCTTTTGATGCGTGTAGCTAATTTTTTGGATATTTTTACCTCAATTATTACATATGGCACCATGTTTGTTGATATGGTACAATAGAACAGAATAGAACATTAAAATTTGAATCTGACTTGATATTTCATAATATTCCATATTTTATTTAGTCCAAAATTCTGGAGTTTTTAAAGGGAATTAATACATTTATTTAGCAAGAACGCGTTCAATTGATCAAAAGTGAGTGTAAAGACATTTATAAGAAGAAATATTTCACAATATTACTACTGCTTCTGTATTTTTGATCAAATAAATCCAGAATAAGAGACTTTGAACGATAGTTACAAAATATAAATCACCCCTTTTAGGTTCTGTTTGACAAACAAATCAGTGTACACTAAGATTGTTATGTCATAGCCTACTTATGATTTGCATAAAGTGTTTGTGGTGCGAGTCCCCACAATACCAGTCATTTTTTACCTTGTGGGGACATTTGGGATCAAGACAGCTTATAAATAATTAGAAATTTTTTTTTTTTTATTCTTGAAAATGTGAAAAGAAAATGCAGAAAGTTGGCATAGGGGATAGATTATACAGTACGGTATTGTTGTTTATGGAAAGTCCCCATTAAACATGGAAACCCAATGTGTGTGTGTGTGTGTACGACAATAATGTGCAGCAGGTGTGTTTGCATTAGCAGTGCTGCAAAGATCAAGACAAAAAAAGACAATTAGACAAACACAATCTTGTCTTCCCAAACATCTCTTTACACTTTGTTTTCCCCCTGAACGAATGAGTTTATCGGTATCTCAATGCTACAACAATACACATGCAGAAAGACTGTTATAAATTTCCATAATCACTAATGACGGACAACAAAATACATCGACTCAGAGACACAAAGGATGCAAGAGCATCAGTGATGTCATATATTAATTCCGCTGGCATATTTGCCTGTGTGTGCATGTCATGTGTAACACACAACGGGAAGTTTTATCTGTGTGTGCATGCAGAGACAATACTGTGTGTAAAGATGTTGTTTACACACACACACATGCAGACTTTGTGTCTGTGACGTCAACCCTGATAATATAAAACAATCTGTTGCATGGGTGACCTCTCCGATGTGAAGTCAAATATCATCAGCTTCTAAAAGTTATAATGTGACCTTTGACCTTTGAAAGGGCAAAGTATGAGCTAACTACAAACCAGAAGCAGACACCTGTCTTGTATTGTTACAATTATGTAACCACTGAAAATAAGCAATAAATAACTAAAAAAGAAATGTACTGTAATTAGTGCAATAATAGAAACAAGACTTAAATTAGTGTAGAAGCTAGTTTATTCTCCATTTTTTTTGCCAATTGTGTTTGAAAAAAATATATAATATAATATAACATAATATAAAAGAACTGGAAAATAAAAACATTATTCATAGTTTATTACATTTTGTATAATCTTATATTATTACAAACATACAATGTATTGATTGAATGCTAAATTGATTGGGGTTGTAATATAACTTAATAAAAGATAATTCATAATTTATTCTTTTTTTTGTGCCAATTGTGGTTGTAAAAATAATATAATAATATATATAATATGTGACCCAGGACCAGTCACATGGGTACATTTTGGGAAATTACGAAAATAAAATAAAAAATAGAAATGGAAATAAATAAATAAAAAGTTTTCCATCGATGTATAGTTTGTTAGGATAGAAGAATATTTGGCTAAGATGCAACTATTTGAAAATCTGGATTCTGAGGATGCAAAAAAATCATTGAAACATTGAGAAAATCTCCTTTAAATCTCCTCCTATCTTTCTGATGATTAGATCAATCTCCTTCATTGTATTAACTCAATTTTTCCATTTCATTTTAAGTTAAACAATATTTTTTTACAGTGTGCTGCATTCAATATATATATATATATATATATATATACACTAGTAAATTTACAAAATATCTTCATGGAACATGATCTTTACTTAATATCCTAATGATTTTTGGCATAAAAGAAAAATTATGAAAAGCTTACAATAATTTTGACCCATACTGTGTATTGTTGGCTATTGCCACAAACATACCCGTGCTACTTGTGACTGGTTTTGTGATCCAGGGTCACATATAATATAAAAATATAATTCAAGTAAACTTTAAATGATAAAAGTCCTTCAGGCGATTTAGGCTCACCCCTCTTATCAGCAGTAAAACATTCTGTGTGCACAGAAAGAAAGAAAAGAGAGATAGAATAGAGTGAGGATAAACATAAATGACAGAGTGGGGGGAGAGGTGAAGATGCGAGGAGAGAGATGCAGGTATATAAAGCTGTGTGTGTGTGACTCTGAGCATCAGGGAGAACACAAGAACACACCAGACCAGGACAGAGGACGGGAACACCTACACATCTTAAAAGGTAAGAAACTGATCGCTTTAAAAATGTAATGCTAAAGGACTAATCAACTTTTAAGTAGTCATTATTAAGATAATATGTGAAGTAATAATAGCAAGGAATGTAGTTTAAAGTCTTTACAATAATAAAGCATTACAACAAGCACCATGTGCTTCAAATAAAAACAATTAAAATAATCAATATAACAAAAGATTAAAAATGAAACCCACTTGATGAAAATAAAAAAAAGATACAATTACTATGCATTAAATGCAGGAAAAAAACTAATAATAAAAGACAACACAATAAATAATGCTTCAGCAAGCAGTCTTTATTATAAATTGGCAATATACACAGCTATATGACACATTTTATGAAAATATACTGCAAAATGGGGGAAAATAGATAAGAAAAGAGAATAAGATACGATTTGATATTGCAATATTTCTGAGAAATTTTAGACAATCCCCTTTCTCGCTTTCAGATAAATTGTAAACATTTTGTAATATTCTATTTTTATCCAGCATTCAATAATAATAATCTGATATGACGTTCTGATAATGGACAAAGGAAAACCTGTAATGGTACATTCTGCTTATGCTCAATTAGATCACAAACAATATCAGAGCTAAAAGTATTTTTTTCCCTACAAGCAAGACTATTTTTTCATAAAAGCATTTTTCAAGAGTGTTACAAACACTAGGCCTATCCTTTTTTTAATATAAGTGGGATATGGCTATGCTGTGCTTAATTGCATCTAAATGCTTGTAAAACCAAAAAGTAGCTCACAGAATCTGAATCTTATCATTCAGTTTTGAGAATAAATGTCCAATTACTCATTTATCCTCAATTTTTCCCTTCAAGACATGCAGACAAGCGAGATGAACGTTTTGCTAGCTGTGTTTTGCATGGTTAACGTCCTCCAGCTCTGTCGTGGACTATCCGGCGGAGGTGAATGCTACTTCAATGCAAAAGGTAAACTAGACTAAACATAAAAAAAAAATAAAAATAAAAAAAAAATAGTTGTAGGCTACATCAAATGATCTGTCACTTAAAGTGGTAAAAGTCACTCTTTCACTGCAGCCAGCTGTGAACACAATGACCGTGTTTTTGACATCGGGGAGTCCTGGATAAATGACGAATGTTTCCAGTGTGTGTGTTTCCAGCCTTTTGGAGTGGGCTGCTGTGAACAGTAAGTTCTCAAAAGCGCATACTTGCATGACTACAACAGCCCTCTATATATGTAGCTGACATGGAAGCTCATTGTTGTTTGCTGTCCTCTAGTGGAAAGCAGCCAGTCGATTACCCGCCCTGGTGCGAGGCCGTTAGAAAACCAAATTCCTGCACAGTTGCTGTGGTGATGAAGGCCAACCATAAACTTCCCTGTCTATTTGGGAGGAAGAACCGCTTGCCAGCATCAGATGGGCTGCTGTGGAAATCAGAGAACGACCCACTCTACTAGACTGAATTACTGAATTCACAAATGCAAAATATTATTTATATACAAGTTAACGCACGCATATTACATCTGTCTTTGTGAGGAGGTCATTCACATACAAGTACACATACACCCTTTTGCCCATTTTTATATATATTAAAATGTAATTTATTCCTGTGACGCAAAGCTGAATTTTAAGCATTACTTTAGTGTCACGTGATCCTTCAGATAGCATTCCAATGTGCTGATTAAACAATTCTCATGTTTAAAGGTTATTTGAGTATAACTAAAAAGTAACGATTCTTTTTTGATTACAGTGTTCAAAATAATTTATTTGAAACAGATTTAAATTTTTTTGGGGGGTTTTACTGCCCAGAAATTTGACCAGTACTGTATTTTAATGACACATACACAACTTGACTATTATTTAAAACTATTAAACTACTCAATTCACATACAGTGGGGTCTTAAGTATGCCATGTTAAATATTTATCAGAATGTTGATCTGAAATAAGTTTTAAATCCTTGTATGTTTGTCATAACTGAAAATTAAAAGGTCAAACTAGAATTTTTCCTGACAAACTGATGTCCATCTCTAAATAAATATTAGTGACTGTTTGTGAGCATTTAGTCTTTGTTTTCTAAAAACCACACTACAGATAATTCCTCAATGAAATGGCAATAATCAGAAAAGACTCTAGAATCCAGAGACACACAGTGGTTCAGTGACAGTAAAAATCATGGTCTTTATTTAAAAAATTTAGGTATCATTACACAAGATACAGACATTAACAAAGTGATTACACGTCATTGTGGGCTCTTTCCAGTTAGAATGATCTGTTCACCCTTTTTTAATTTTATACTATTAAGTGTTACTTTTCACTCCCATTTACTGTGTTCATAATACATATTTAGATCTGCACGGCTTTTGGACCTTTAGAATCTGGCAGTGCCACTGCTTTGAACCCACGGTTAAAAAAAAAAACTTTTCCTAAACCTTTCTTCCCTGGGTAGAATATGGCTCTTTAAAGCAAAATAAAAAAGGTAAAAATACCAAAACCTCCTCTGCTCAAAAGATGCCCACCATAAGCCCATTACAGTGCAGCATTTCACATAGTGGTTTTCCATACTTTTGTGTTAATATGCAGGGGGATTAAACCCAAACAATGAATACATATATTACTCAAAAAAAGAAAAGGAAAAAAAAACTCTAAATCGAAACAAAGGCTTTTATTAAAACAAACAACAACGACAAAACAAAAAAAACAATGGCCCTTAAGACATGGATGTGCATACTGTTACAGACCACACGGTGTGGTTTTGGTCCCAAAACCTGTGACGCCGACAAACAGGCAGCAGAAACTTGTGCAGGATGAGGAGAGTGAAGTGGTAAGGATCAGGCACCAACAAGACCAGCAAAAACATCCTGCGTCACAGGATCAACAGGACAAAATGACTGTAGAGTGACCTAAAGCCAAGCATGAGACTGCCAAGATGGCTTTTATGGCACAAAATGTTAAGTAAATAACCCTCCAGTAAAATTAAGAAAATTGAGGGTTTTGGGTGATGTGAAACTCGCCACAATCGTAAAGCTCTGATCATGGCCCAAAACCAAAAAAAAAAAAAAAAAAAAAAAAAATGCTACCCCAGGGCTGGCATACAACATTTGACACTTTAAGAATACCATAGTAGTTTGTTCCTGAAATCACTTGGGATTTTCTGAGGAGATGAGCAGTGAAGCCTATTAAGCACTCCAGAAAGATTAAGGTACTTTTGAACCATTGAGAGGCGCAGCATTTTTGCTGGTTGGCTTGGTGAGCCCGTCTTCCAGTAGAACAAGAGAACAGGGGATCAGAAAAACAGCAGAATCAGATGTGCAGACATGAAGAAAAAAAAAAATGAGATGAGGGTATCAGGAAGGGAAGAGGCGGCTTTCTTTTGGCTCCAGGTCTTCCTTAGAAACTATTGAGCTCGCTCAGGGTCTGGTCCAAAGTGGCATGGATCTTGAGGTTCTCCTCCTTAGCATTTCTCAGTTTCTCTGCAATGAAATTTAAAAAAAAAAAAAAAATCCCAGAAGGAAAGCAAAAAGTGAAACCAACTGCAAAATCAAATTGTTATACAACATTGTACAGGATTTGTTAAATAGAGGTTTGATTTGGATGTATGGTTCTTGATGTTATATTATATGTTATTCAGATCAGGTTTAAAGTGAAGACCTCCTTTATGAAGTACCGGTATATATTGTTTTCTAAACAACTATAAAAATGTCCACCAATGGCATCAGATTGAAAACCTTAATTTTACCTATAGCTTTTTAAGATTGTGTAGTAATTAGGGCTGGCTCCTGATAGTCAACTAAATTTTGGCTTATCTTTTGGAACATGCAAGTAGCAACTTTCAACGGTTGCTCGCTTTAACGTTAGATAAATTATAGCGCGCGTCATGACATGAGGCGCAGGTGTGACTCCTTGAATTTTTTCCTGACAACAGTGGAAACTTGGTCATACAGATTAGAGTAATACATCATTCCTTCGTAAAATAAAGATAAACAGGATGCGATTTGTCTGTGTCTTGGTCTCTGTGAAAAGGAGCGCGTCACAAAAACGAACCGAAACTCAGCATATAGGCTACTTGCCTCATAGACATGGGAAATAAATCTATAGAAAGCTTGATGTATAATATATCCAAAAATAAATATATTCTCTGCTAATGTTATCTGTATGAAATTACATACAGATCCCAATGCTCACTATTTATATCGTCTATACTGTGGAGATGTCGAGGCAGCATCGTCAACATCTTTCCAGCCGACACGGTCACAGAAAACACTAGTAAATTAAATACTTTAAGTCTCTATGCTATTTTTTGGAACGCATTTATAATCCATATGCGAGCTTTATGCGAGCCCTTGAGCTTGGAATAGGCATTTTTTATAACAAAATTATTTATATATTGGAATATTATATAACACTCATTATGGTTTAGTATTCCCCTGAGTATATATTTAAGTAATTAAGTTAAAATAAACATGCGATTAGTCTTAAATAAGTGACTACTAGTCGACTAGAAGAACCTAAAGTTGGGGGCAGCCCTAGTAGTACTTGACTTTCATTGAAACTGACTTTGTATCAGAATTTAAGTAGTGTCATCTTTTGTTCCAAATTAAGTGCATTCCAGTGAAGCGTGTTTATCGTTTGGATGGTGGCAAATCTGAATGAAAGCTTGCAGTCGCTTGTAAGAAAGGGGTGTGGTTTAGGTGTAAGGGGTTTTAGTTTAAGACTAAATGATTGGTGAAATCCACCATCCAGAAGATGGAGTTATGACATTGACAATATGCACAGATTAATTGTTCACTATAAGATCAATAACATTCATTTAATGACTTGTGTATAATGTGAACTTATTTCATGCCACTAATAATCCTCTTCATCATCAACTATATTTGCATACCATTTCAGGCTTAAAGGTGCAGTGGAAATGGTACTGCAGTCAAAATTCTAAATATTGGAGAGAGACCCAATGCTCACTGGTTGCCAGATTGAGAACATCCAACAGAAAGGAGCGCATTTAACTTACACTGCAAGTTGATCAGCTAATGTATACATTTGCAATGTTTTATTGCAGAGGCTTTTTAGGTCTTCTAGAATCTGTGAACTGACCCAGTTCGATTGCTGTGTCGAAATACTATTGGGTAAATTGGCAGGGGGTGGGACCAAATGGTCAAAACAAAAACTAACAATCTTACACGAAACACTTCAAAGTAAAATAACTGGCTGTTGCATTCTTTTACGGAGAAACGAGTCCTTGAACTTAGCATGTTTCCTAAATCTCTGGAAACATATGGAATTTTTTGAAAATTACATAATGAAAATGTCATTTTTAATTTGAAAATAAAAAATTACATACAGCACCTTTAATAAATCCTAATTGTGAAACAGCTCAAATTTATGGTGGCAGACACTGTCGACAACACTCACCCAGTATTAAAATTGTGCAACACTGGCATGCCAATGCTTTGCTTTTCCCACAGCACCGATAAACCAATTTTCAGAGAACATAGAGCTGAATGAAAGTATTCATTTTGCTTAATTGCATGAGGCCAATCATTAAAACTTCAGAAATGTAAGTACTTGTTTTTCAGAAGTAACTTTCAACAAGGCCTCTGTTTTCAACAAATAGCTAAAATTTTACTTAAACATTTATTCATCCCTCTAGAACAAGATTGCATAACTTTTCCTTAAATGGTTTAAATAACTATCTTGGCAACCAGCTTCCATTTCAAAATGGGAAGTTTCCTTTTTGGAAAAGTGAAACCAATTTGAAATGGCAAGAATCAATGTTTCTAGCCAAAAGAAGAGCCAGTTTGTAAATTCTTATTAGGTCTTAATGCATTAAACTTAATGCAAAGAAACTATTTAAAACGTGAAAACCAGAAATGGTTTAAGATTGTGGATGTAAATGCTTTCTTCCAGTCTAACTTTTATGGTATTTTTATTTATTTATTCAAATTTTCAGCTTTTTTTTACCCTTAATTTCAGACCTATGGCCCATTTCAAGTCAATGGCCTTCTGCACCAGAGATAATCTTAACTCATAGCTAAAACTCATGACTAACCAATTAGTGAAAGAATTTATAAAGCTTTTCTCGTTCAATCATAAGATATTTTTCATACACAATCTGAAATAGGCAAATGCTTGGTTGCCTAACAATAACAACATTGCAAAAAGAGACAAGCAGCCATTCAAAAGAGAGCAGAGCTTTTTTCCTCCATTCAATAACCATGTACACAAGGCATGAAAAATACAGCAAGAAACAAGAGAGAGGAAAACCAAGGACAAAACAACAACACACGTCTCTGAATAGTCAGATGTAGATAAGAGGAAGATGTTGGGGCAGATAATGAATATCTAAAGAACAGAAATTCAGAGAAAGCAGAAACAGAACAGGACTTAAATGGAGAAACGGAGACTACAGAAATAAGCACAAGGAAAAACACATGAAAAGGGGGGTGTCCACAAAAGATCAGAAAAGAAATATCCAAGAAATATTGACAGTCAGACAAGATGAAGAATTTCTTGAAGTCACAGTCAGCCACAGAACAGTCCAGAAACTCTTTATCTGTAAACAGACACCAATGGTAAATACCTCGTGAGAATATTTCTACATTTCAGAATGAGGAAAGTCGCAAATTTAACAAGCAAGCAGCTAAGAAAAATGTTAGAAACTACATCAATACAAGCCACAGCTCTAAAACAAACTAGCTAGCTAAAAATACCATTTTTTTGTTCTTTTGGAAAATATGGTTATTTAGGTTAGTCTACAACATGACGTCATTCCACAATCCCAAAAAAAAACATTTAGCTTATAGAAAGTACGTAATAAAACGATGATCACTCGCATTTGCATAGCAGCACTATTCAGTATCCAGAAACATTGAAGAGTCAGACTTATTTAACTATTAGAAAGTTCAAAACAGAGGCCATTTACATAAAAACTCTTAAAAGGCACAGCAAATCTGGCCTGTTTAACGGAGGCTAAAAAAAGTCAAACTAAACCATGTCTTTTTGCAGTTCAAGTGAACTTTAGCAAGAAATAAACTACAAAAAGCGCAGAATGTC